GGGACGTTGCTTATGATCTTTTGCTATGTATAAGACTTTTTCTTTTTAGTTATGTTTTGTCTATGATGGTGAGCCCGGTAGTTTGTCTTGGCCCCCGCTAAGTACTCATGTTTAGAGGTGGTGTTGGACAAGTTGTGTATTATGCTTGAGCTTGACTCATCTATGGTATTTATGTATCATTCTCTCTTTCTCTTGCCCCCTTAGTCCCGTCTTCCCCTTGATTATGCTTATCGCTTATGGTCATTTTAGTTGCTTCCGCGACCAAGGATGTGTAATGATATGCTATGAGGTTTGTTTGGGGTTCCTTCGGGTTCCCTATTCGCCGGTTACGTCTAGGCCCTAGGCTTGGGTCGTGACACATAGTACACATTGTCAATTGCTTGTTTGAGGTTGAGCCCCACCTTTACAATTCCTTGTATTTCTCTAGTTTTTCTGTTCCCAAAGGCTACGTTTCCACCCTTAAAATCTTTTAGTGAGAGGAAGTTGTTTCTATCTCCAGTCATATGCCTGGAACATGTGCTGCCCAGGTACCAATGTCTTAGCTTTTCTCCCACTGAATCCTACAGTAATTAGACAGAGTTAGGTTTGGGTACGCAGATCCACTTGGGTCTTGTTTGTTAGAAAATGGATGAATAAGATTTTTCTTAGCCCATTATGAGAGGGTTTTGAGTGTGGGAATAGGTTTAGTCTTATTCTCTTCCTGTGTTTTTTGCACAAAAGTGAAAATTTTCTTATGTGCAGTTTGTTTTTCATTGCATGCATAACTTTTATGTCCTGTAAGGCCACAGTGAGAACACAAACAATCTATGTTGGGATTCTTTGTTTCAGAAAAACATATTCCATGTTTTGTGGTAGATTGACTCTTTTGGATGCTATCGAGAAGTATGGAGGACCTGGTCCATCTCATGCTATGCTCTGCTTCCATTTTGGTCATGTGAAGTTTCTTCTGTATATCTTCACTTTTACAGGTATGGAGTTAAACTCTTTATTCAATTCTTCTAGCTTATTATGCAGAAGACAGTTTTGTTGTTCTAAGTTCACATTTTCTTCTCTTAAAGATGCATAATCTTCCATTAACAGGTCTTTTTCAGAATAGGTTGATTGATTTGCGTTTATAAGATTATGCAATAAGGATTGTAGTTTTCTTTTTGAGTTAAAGTCAAGATTGTCTTCTTCTTGAATTGTTTCCTGTGTTTGACAACTGTTTTCTTTCTCTCCTGGTTCAGTTATGGCTACTAGTGCAAGAAAGTCATATTTGTCAGTTTGCTCTATTGCAAGTAGGGATTGATTTTCAACTTCTTTATCTTCGGACTCATCTTCTGACATGCCTCCCATTGCAGCAAATGCTTTCTTCATTGAGATATCAACCTCTTGGTTAGTCATTCTCCTGTTTGTAGGAATATATCTGTCACCTTTACCATCATTTGCTTAGTCTGGATTATTCTTTTTATGTTCTGAGGCCCAGAGTGGACAAAATTTAATAAAATGATCTGGACTTCCACATTTATGACATAGTTGTTCTCTTGAGTATTCAACTGTCTTTTGAGGACCTCTTCTTTGAAATGTTTGTCCCCTTTTTAACATTCTGGAGAACCTCTTTGTCATAAGTGCAATATTCTCATCTTCAAAATCTTCAGGTGTTGTGGCTTTAAGAACCAGGTTCTTCTCCTTTCTTTTACTGCATATTTCCCTCTCTTGGTTTTTCTTTAGTTCATATGTTATGAGATTTCTAATGAGCTCATCCATGGCTAGTTTATCTAGGTCACGTGCTTCAGTAATGGCCTCTACTTTACTTTCCCAGGATTCTGGTAGAACGCTTAAGAGTTTTCTGACAGCCTTTCCATTTGGAATTACTTCTCCTAACAAATAAATCTCATTAATGATTGCAGTGAACTTGGTGTGCATATCTTAGATTTTTTCTCCTTCCATCATTCTGAATAGTTCATATTGTCTATTCAAGTTGTCGATTTTAGATTTCTTAACCTGAGTTGTACCTTCGTGTGCAGTTTGTAGAGTTTCCCAAATTGACTTTGCATCCTCACATGATGAAATCCTATTATACTCGTCTAGTCCTATGCCGCAAATTAGAATCTTTTTGGATTTTGCGTTATTTTGAATAGCAAGTTTGTCTGCAACATCCCATTCTTTTCTTTCCTTAGGAACCATCGTGACTCCATCGTCTCCCTTCTTCATGGGTATAGTAGGACCATCCAGAACTACACTCCAAAGATTGGGATTTTTGCCTATCAAGTGATCCATCATATAGTTTTTCCACCATCCATAGTACTTTTCATAGAACAGTGGTGGTCGAGTTTGAGAAGCTCCTTCTTGTGGGGTAAGTGGTGCTGCCATTGATTCTTTTCAAGATGTGAATCTCGTAACGAAAAGACCTACTCTGATACCAATTGAATAAACCTTACCCAGTATTCAAAAACCAGGTTCTTGAATAATACACACAAGATACTTACGTTAATGACAGTAACACCAATATATCGTGGAAACCTTCCTAATTAAATGAAGGGAAAAAACCACACAGAGTTTTATATTAATTCAACAATTACAACTCAGTAAATCGATGAATCTAATCTCTAAATGTCTACCCTTTCGATTAACTATAATCGAAAACACCCTCAACTCTCCAAGAAGTCAAACTCGCTTCTTGGTTACAAAAACTCTCAATCTCTCTACTAACCCTAACCCTCACAAGAAGTCAAACCCACTTCTTGTTTATAATTCTCACACACTCTCAAGACTCTCACAAACACTGATCCAAGGACAGATCAATGCAACTCAACTATTCAAAAGTAATTCTAACTCTAGAATTATTTCGTTTATACCTCTCGAACACTTTGGCCTTCGCTATCTCTCTTTCTCTTGTTCTCTCTTTTCTGAATTATGCAAAGACAAATTCTGCGATCTGGATCGTTGTCCTTTTATAGACTCTGAACTATGTTAGACTCTGACTTGTATAAGGAGAGGAATTATAGTTTTTTTTAGAAAGAATTTCGATTCTTTTAATTGTAAACCTTTTCCTTTTATAACTTGGCTTGCCATGTCTCCTTATTCATGCAGGACTTCTTTTGCTGATTCTTTTCCCTTTCCGACTCAACTTTCTTTTTAGCGCGAGAACTCTTCCTTTTTTATTTCAGTTTATTTATCATTTGAATGATAAGCTTTGCAGGGTGAACCTAGTTCACTGTGTCGATCATCAAAACTGTATTTGATTTATCACTGCTGAATTCCTTTTCCTCTCATGGTCTCCAGGAAATCAAAAGGTTATCAGTTGTCATGGCACATCAAGAACCCTTTGATTCACATAAATATGTTATATGCATACATTGCAAATGTTTGTGTTGCAAAGTTTGCTCGTCGTCAGGGTATTGCTTCAAATATAATACATTTGGCTGCTAATATGGCCGCATTAGAAGGTATCTTGTTTCAGCTTTAAACTATTTAATGTGCTCTTCATTATGATCTACCAGTTCAGAATTGCCATCCCTTGTAATTAATTTTCGCTGAACTATGTCTAATCTTATTTTTGCATGTCCAAGCAGGTTTCAAGCAACTATTTGTTCATGTAAATGCAGACAACATACCTGGCCAGGAATTATAACAAAAACACAGCTTTAAGGTTACCTTCAATCTCTTTTCCATATACGGAACAACTTATTGATATTGCTTAGCGAGATCTGTTTATGTGGATGATCGTCCTTCATTAGCTCTTCTTTCTTTTCTTTTTTTATAAGTGAATGCTTGTTTTCATTATTGTTTTTATTTTTAATTTTGGACGTCTTAATTTCTGCATCGCATCTCTCATAATCATCCCAAGAGTTGAAGTCAGTGCTAAGTTGACCTTTAAAATGAGGTAACTCTTCATGAAACGTTTTATATCAAATCTGATATGATAACCCGGAAAGTAGAGTAATAACTTAATATAACCTGTTGAATTGAGTTGACGATGTAACATTTCTTTACATGTGATGTATAACTTAAATCCTTTTGAAATTTCTTACTTCAACTTATCTTAGTTTGGTTGACAATCAACTCTTGATGTATAACAAAAGGTGTGTCGCGTCTTTTGACTTACTCTTATCACTCCATGCAGATCGTGGAAGCCGGCTCATCGTCTCTATCAAAAGAACAGAGGATACTGATGTCGTTGGATTTATAATTTCCCTTAGCTACTTCACTTCCAGACTAAAGAGGATGTGTTGGTTTGTACATTTACATGGTTTGAAGCCAATATCTTATTGGTTGATGTATGTATTATTGGGTAGACAGACAACTAGTTAGTTACAGAGAATATAATATAATATATATATATATATAAGGAAGTTGTATGGTTTGTTTGGACTAGGGAACGGGTACGTATTGGATACATGTTTATTTGAGTATCCTATACGAGCATATCCGATTGAATATTTTGGTGTATTTTGGAGAATTCAGATTATGTACTCATACTCAATGTCAAATGAAGAATTCATGTATTAAGCTGAAATATATTGTTTTTGTTTTCTTATCAAAATGGATTTTGTTGTTTAGTTTGTTACAATGTTGAGAAAGTTAAATATGGCTATTAGTCTATGAGAGATTCTAACACAACTCCAATTCAATTATTTCATCTTCTGTGATGGCCTCACTTCTTTTTTCGTCTTCTTATAATGATTCTGTAATCTAGCTCTTCAGCTTTTATCCTAGAAAGCCAATTGGAATTTCGACTCGAAATCATGAAATATGCTATGGAGAATCCAATATTAAGTCCACCTGCTAAGAATCCCATTCCTAAATTCATTCAGAAATGTACAACTTCTTTCTTCATCTACCATATGTGTTGTGTTGTACGTCTCTGGCATCCTGCTACTTCCACAACCTTCCGAAAAAGGGTATCCACGTAATCCATCATTACCTTTATAAGAATTGTTCTCAAATGTAGAAAATTGATTTCCTTGAGGAATGAACCCTTCGAGATGATTGTAGGAGAGATTAAAGACTTCAAGAGATGTAAGAGAAACAAATCTTGTTGGTATCTCTCCTACTAGATGGTTACCTGATAGGTCCAATGATTCAACCAAAGATAAACTTCCAAGTGATAGCGGTATGCGGCCTTCAATCCATTATGAGATATATTCAGCACACGAAGTGCAGTAAGATCTCCCATAATACTTGGAATATGTCCTTCAAATTTATTGTTTGAAAGATCGACAGTGGTATACAAAAACAAGATTCTCACAACTTTAAGATCCAATCCCTTTGTTACGAGAGCTACCGAATCTTGGTAATATCGATCCCATTCATCACTTGGTGCATTCATCGTTTGATGAATTGTCCTCATGGCTTTAAAATGTTGAAACAAACCCGATGGTATGTTTTTTGTGAAAGCATTGGAGGAGAGATCTAATATTTGAAGATGAGGAAACATGTTTTGACTCGTTAGAGTTCTAATGGGTCCATGCAATTTATTGGACCTCAAGCTTAGAACTTTCAGCTTTGGCAGAGTCCCCAACAACACAGGGAATGTGTCCATGAGGTGATTGTCTCCTTCGAGTTGTTTGCAGTTGATCAAGGATTGTGGGATTTTTCCTCCAGCTTATTGCCATAAAAGTTGAAGCTTTTGAGTGCACTTCCAATTGTAAAAGTCATTGGAAGAGTCCCTGATAGACTATTGTGGTGCATATCCAGAACCTCGAGGCCAGTGATATTACCCAAACATTGCGGAATTGCCCCCTTCAAGTTCTCTTAATTGAGTCAAATTCTCAAAGAGCAATTTCAAATCATGGGCTGTGAGTCTTAGAATAGTTTCAAATGACGGGGAGAAATGAAGAGACTGTAATTGAGAAAGATGAGAGATTTCAGAGGGGATATGACCTGAGAAATAGGAGTCAGAAAGATCAAGCAGTGTCAAGCTCGAGAACCTTCTAAGTTAAGGCAAGATGTGAGAATTAGAGAAGTTATTAGAAGAAAGGTCGAGCCTTTGAAGACGAGAGAGTTGGAAGAGGTTGTTATTGGAATCAATCTTTCCTACAAGACCACTGCAACTGAGATTAAGTTCAATCACATGGCCAGTCATCTCATCACATATGACTCCATCCCACGAGCAACAATCTCTGCTCCTATTCCATGAACTCGTATAAGAGTAGGAACTACAAGTAACTAATGAGGGATCTAGAGTGAGTGGTTTCTTGAATTTTAGAAGAGCAGCGCGTTGATCTTTGCGGCACGGATGAAGTATGGCTGAAGAAAAAGAAAGCACACAGAAACATAGAAAGAGCATAAACGAGAATTGCTTAGACCCCATGTTTAGCATCAAACAATTTTAGAGAAAGTTGGCAGTGCAGTTAAGAAAAGGCTACACAAATATATATAGGCAGATTAAGTTGCTACTAAGTAGTGAGAAGGTTTATTTATTTGATAATTGGACTCGATTTTTTATATAAAAAATTATATATTCTAAGATCAATTGATGATACCTTAACAGTAGAGGTGTACGAGGAAAACCAATAAACCACACCAAATCGATAATCGGAGTCAAATCAGAAAAAAAAAACCGATTAGTGATTTGGTCCGTTAAGGGTTATAGCCCATAGATATTAGTAACTCAAATAAGCCCAAATCAAAATTAAATCAATTTATAATTTTGTTTTCGATAGTAATGAGTTTAGTTGAACCTGTTGTTTATGAGCTGCATCCACCTCTACAAAAATAAAGAGAAGAGGAAATGAAGCCAAGAAAGATAATGAATTATGAATGTACCAATAAAATTACTCACGTCTCGCGTGAAAATTTAATATCACAGAATTTATAAAATAATACTTAAAACCTATCAATCATTAAAACTAAAACATTATATTATCTTACATAAAAGATTACGTAGTAACGGACATTAATAATGTAAAGAAAAATGATAATTATAACATCTTATCATTTATCCTTCAATCAATCTCTTTAATTTGATTTTATAATTTATCGTTTTACTTTTAGGAAGTGTTACTATTTGATATTTTTGGAGAATCAAATGAACATCAACCTAAGATATACAAATATTCTAATTCTAATGTGTAGAAAAGTTCAGCCCTACCTTTTGCTTTACATATATCATTTCAAAGTTCCCCATTTAAATGTATGATAAGTAATTATTGAAATGGAAAATTAAAGGGAAAATGTATCATATTGGACAACAATTCAACTTATTATATATATTTGAAAGGGAAAAATATTACACAAAACTATTCAGTTTGTTTGGATGTTTTTTTTAAAATTAGCATACCAGAGTGATGGAGTTCAATTTGAAACTACACTTCTATTCCAATCGTAGTGTTGAAAAACATATCTATAACTTCAAGAAAAGTATTTACAATTTGCAGTAAACTTGAAAATATGTTCATACTTCATATTGAATATGAGCAATTAACTGATTGTATAGTTATCTATGTCTTTGGGATTAAAAGAAGCACCAGTCTAGTCATATTCTTCTATAGGTCAGTTGACACATCCTTGAACCCATGTCAAAAGTTTATTAATTCTTGTCTTTTTTCCTGGTTCACTTCCACATCAAGGTGCGATAAGGTTTTTAATGTCTTTATGTCCTTACAATGTCATACCAAATTTGAATTTTTTCATCAAGAGATTGTAACCGACCTTTAAGATTTCTTTTACTATACCTTCAACAATTTTAGTAAAGAAAACTTGCGTGAATACTCAATTAATATGTGTTATTTAATTTGTACTAACAAATACTTATAACAGTAACTTTGCAGAAACATAAACAACAAAGTTTAAAACATATACTCAAAAACAACAACTAATAACATAAACATAAATTAATGACTATAAAAAACATACCAGGATCTGTAACAGTAGAATGAAACAAAAAGGAAAAAATCGAGTCCACTGAAGGTACAGTGAGCCACTCAGCAGGAGCAAAGTACACAAATATTTAATTGTGCATGTAGTCATTTTAAAATTTACTAAATATAAATTTATAAAATGATTCGGATTATATTAAATTCATGAATATATTAATCCATATAAATATTATCGATTAGTATAATTGAGTTAATTATTTAAATCTAATTAATATGGATTTAATTAAATCCAGCTCCATAAAGTCCATATGTCATGTCACTTAAATCTGATTGGGAATCCTGTTCCAATCACAACTCCTCTATTTTAAAACTATAAATAGGGGTCCTCATAATTCAAAAAAAAGAACCAAGAATTCTAACAAGAAGCTAGAGAAAGCTCGTGGATCAAAAGCCACAGATTTCTCTGCAAGTTCAAGAATGTTTAACAAGAAGCTAGAGAAAGCTCGTAGATCAAAAGTTGCAGATTTCTCTACGAGCTACAGGATCAAGCTCGAAGCCCTTGGATTCAAGTAGAAGTCAAGATCAACATAAAGTTCAAGATCAAGACTTCCAGATTAAAGATCAAGTTGAAGCCCTTGGATTCAACTAGAAGTCAAGATCAAGATAAAGTTCAAGTCAAGACCGCCGGATTCAAGATCAAGCTCGAAGCCCTTACATTCAACTAGAAGTCAAGATCAAGATAAAGTTCAAGAACGATCAAGATCAAGACCACTAGATTCAAGATCAAGCTCGAAGCCCTTGAAATCAACTAGAAGTCAAAATCAAGATAATGTTCAAGTTCAAGTTCAAGATCACGTTCAAGTTCAAGATAAACTCAAGAGACCTTGAATTATATTCGAAAAGGGGAATTCATAGGAATCGTAGAGATTGTAACACTCGTACTTTGAATCAATAAAATGATTGTTGCGATAATTTTCCATTCTTGATTATTGTTTTTTCTCGATGCAAATTTTATCGTCTACAAATTCTAACACGCCCAGTGGGAGAATCTCTACCTCTCATCTCAACTTTTCAAGCATCAAAGAGTATCAAAATGAATTGCACTATAGAAGAACGACTAGAAAGTTTGACTAAAGTAATTGAAGGCTTGACGAAGTGTGCTCAAGAACAAGATGCTAAACTTTCCAAGCTAACAAATAAGATGGATAACATGATCGAAAGAAGATCGAGTCAAGAACCTTTGACACTTCCTAGAATTCAAGACGAAGGAGAGTCTTGTATAAAGCAAACAAAGATCAAAGAGATTCATCTCTCCGCTGGAGGTTTGATTCCCATTGATCAATTGAAGGACTTTATCATAGAGGCTATCGAAGACAAATCTGAGTCCCCATCCAATTTTTCTTCAACATATGCAAAGCCATATACACAAAGAATTGATAACTTAAAAATGCATGAGGGTTGTCTATTGGAATGTATGCGGCCACTAAGTACGA